CCTGGCACGATATGGTTCATGGGGTCACGAAGAGTCGGACACGACTTAACGACTAAACAACCAACAACCAAAAAATGTCTAATTGCCTGGATAATATGATATTCATTCAGCTTCCAAATTATAATATGTATATATAATTATGTGTAATAGCATTATGTAAACTATATGTTATTTAGTGAACTGGGAAGCAGAGCACATAGCTGATAGCATACTATGGTCTTATTTCAAATTGAATAATATGGCTGCTGAATCCCAGGGAGTTTTCATCAGTAAATCAGTTGGGAAGGGGGAAACAAGAGTTACAGAACAATCATCTATTTTTTCTTCTTATATTAGCCCTATACACGTCAATAAGATCTCAACCCATTTCAGTCTGTATTCAAGGCTGGAATCCCTGATCACTTTTTTGGATGACAGGTAGCAGGACTAGGATGGGGAGTTCAGCCCTCCTGGTCCTACTTGATCTTTAAACTCAATCATCATGTCTCTTCTGATCACCTCTGGAGCCTGGAAGTGGGGGCATTGTTTTGCTGTGGTTGTTCTCCTTCCTCTGGGGACAGTTTCAGTTAATGAGTTGGGCTTATTGAACTCTAAAGCCCTATGTTACGGGGTGCCACAGGGCTCTATTTTCTCACTCCTATTTAGCACTTACATAAAGCCACTGGGAGGGATCATCTGCCAGTATGGCATATAGTATCAATAGTATGTGGATAATATTTAGGTGTATATTTTGGCCCTAAGCCAAATGATGCTGCTGAAGTGCTATCCCAGGGCCTGGAGGCTGTATGTATTTTTATGGGGAGGAACAGACCCAATCTCAGCAAGATGAAGTGGCTGTGGTTTGAAAGCCAACTGAGACCAGTGATATTCCATCTTTGATTCTGGATGGATTTGTGCTCTCCCAAATTAAACTGGTTCACAACTTGCTGGTCCTTCTGGGCTCATAGCTCCTGATCAAGGAGCAGGTGGCAGCGGTGGTTAGAAGGACCTGTGCACAATTCCTGTCTGGTACTTCAGCAGTATCAATTTTTGGATCAAGAAGCACTACTCATGCTTTGGCCATACCTCAATTGGGCTATTGCCACTGTACATGTGTCAGGCATTGAAGATCACCCAGAAGATACAGTTGTTCCAGAACACAATGGTTCATGTAGTTAAGACCCCCTCTCAGTTTGCCTGGAGAACATAACAACTATAAGAGCTGCACTAGTTGCCAGTTGACTTCTGGGTGTAATTTAAGGTGCTGGGTGTTGCCTTTAAAGCAATACATGCTCAAGACTTCCATCTCCCAACAGTCTCTACCTGCTAAATAAGATATAGCGGAGATGGCATCTTTCAACTTCCATCTTTGAACTTTGAGTGTTATCTTCATGGGCCATGAAGGTGTATTCATCCAATAAGACATTTAAAACGAACAATGGAAATCTCAGCTTTCTTTATGTGTGTTTGTACATACATATGTACGTACATATGTATGTTTCTAAGAATTGTTACATTCTAGGAATTACTTTTTGGGTGTTGGAGTAGACTACATAAAGGATGGAACGGAATTGTATTTTATTTCTATGAGTATTTCCTGTATTCTGTACACTTGTGGTACCAACACTCAGGGGTAGCTTGACCATATATGTATCCTTGAGAAGGTATTCATCTTCTTTGGCTGAAATTCAGTTGTGTTCAGCATCTTCTGCAACTTTGCAAGAGATCCAAGGACAATGCATGGCCTGTTGGCCAGCCCAGCCATTCCTGCTGTCTGACCTTGAACAGGAAACCTGAGTCTCATGTAGTCAATGAAAGTTGATGTGTTAGTTTCTTTGTTTTGTGTCTTTCTCCTACAATGCAGGGCCAAGCATACTTATCGTAAAACTTTGCTGGAGCAGGTTCAAGAGTTGGAAGCTAAATCCAAAGAACTGAGGAAATCTATGCTGCGTGATAGCAATGGAAAGAGGTGGGAGCAATTCCATCTTAACTGGAAGCATGCCAAATCCATTTTTCCCCCTTCTGCTGCTGCTTCATTATTTTTGCCATGTGTTGCAATGTAATGGTTACCTTCAGAAGAACCATGTTATTCATTTACATTTTTTAAAAAAGCTTCCATCTTTCACTGCTCCATCCCTTATCTGTTGATACATGAGGCCAAATGCAAGGCTCTACTTATAGTCTCTTGCATGATAGCTTGTCATATTTTTGTTAGACATGCTGCCAATCTGAAGTTTTATTTCAAGTCACTTCTTCTTTAAAATGCTGGCTTGGCTGGTTGCATTGTGGTTTTGAACAAAAATATATTAAGATCATATTAAAAACCAGGGATAAAGAGCAGATATATCTTTTCAAAATGTTTTACTACCACCACCCTGCTTAAAACGAATCAGAGTGGTTGAGGAAAGCTAGAGAATATATTACTTGATTACTTAGTATTTGATCTCTAATTTATGGATAGGAAAGTATCAACACTCATTCAAAATCACCAGGATCTGAAGAGCTATTTTAATCTTGTTCAGAGACTTGACCATTCTTAAAAGGAGTTCTTTTACCTTTTAACAATAGGCACCATATAATTTTTTTTCATTGCTGAATCTGATTTACCATTCTTACTCTTGTCTCATGTTATTCAATTGCTGTATTTTAATGTGTTTTATATGTCTTAAGCATCCTTGAGAATACTTGGTTATTAGAAGGGATACATCCTTTTAAAGGAGATAAATAATCAGACAGCACAAACTGCTTTTCACATTTAGCTTGGTAGAAAATGGTTTAGAAACAAGCTTTGCTATGCGCTTTGAGTGGCTAAGAGTGACTGTTACAGAAACAGAAGTCCAAAGCTTGGTTGACTGCACAAAGTTAATCATCCAATTCTTTGAATTCAAAATAACCTCTGAATATTTCTAATTTCAACATTTATTTATTTTGTCCCATTGGTAGTTTCAAGCATTACCTCACTGAACATGGGCTGATTCCAAGGCTGATATTTGAGCATGCCACAATCTTCTCTGTTAGCACAAGAATTATTTCCATAATTAAGAGAATGATTGGCCAGCTAACAGTATCTTTCAGCTTGTTACAAATTTCACTTTTAAACTATTAATCAACAGAGTTCTCCTCTGGATGATAACTTAAGTGCTTCTGTATTGTCACTTGATCCTATGGAAACTAGAGCTAATGCATATACTATGTGGGGATTTTTTTTATCTGATGTGAAAGACATTGAAGAGAGTTTTGTTGAGCCTACCCCCCCCCCACTTCTCTGGCTTCAGAGGGTTCCAGTGAGCCCTTTTTATAATGCAATTGTGCTTCAGCAAATGGGAAAGTGTCACAAGTTCAGAAAGGTTTTGTAACTCATACTTGTGCTCTTCAAACAATATAGCTCTGTGTGGTGTGTAGAGGAACTTCACAATAATTAAGCATGATTTTAACAAACCTTCTCAACAACCAAGGTAAGTAGAAGGGGGCTTCAGAGAGAAATTTCAGCCTTGTAGGGCACGATCCCTCTTGGGCCAGGCTCATCTATTCCTGGGTAAACGAATTGCCATATTGTAGCTGCTGCTGAAGCAGATGGAAGAATAAAAAGAATAAATCTATGATTCCATTTCTTTCAATAGTGCTGTCAAATCACAGGATTATTGCTAATATAAATACAAGATTCCAAGATCTGATTTTTTTTTTTTTTACCCAATTGTGTAATGTCACCCAGTTGCTTAGATTTATGTCATTGTTGGAGGAGAGCCACAGTCCTAAGAATTAGGACTGGTAGCACATTTTCAGACAAACAGTTTTTATTAAAAGCCATAAGCTTTTGTAAACTAGAGCTCATTTCATGAGCTGCATGGAGTGGATTTATGTGTTTGCTTAGATCTGCCTTTCCCAAGCTCAGATATGAGTTGGACTACAATTCGTATTATATATAGCCCATTTAACGCATCAGAGACATGCCCCGCCCCCATCAGTTGAGGAAAGCTGGCCTAGGCAATCATTTCTGAATTTAAAGAATAGATTTCTTTCTGTATTCTGTTCTGAAATGCTTTTTTGTGTGTCTAGACTCTTTGTACACTTCTTACCTGTATATTTATGCAATAAACATCAGAGCGTTGTCTGACTGACTTTTGCAATGACATTGATTATAGATAGTTGCAAGTATAAGAGAACTTACTTTGTTCTCATTCTGTACTAAACATAGTCCATTGTATTTCAAAAACAGAAGTCAGGATCTCTGACTGCAGCTTGGTGTCCTTGGTTCCAGTCTCTAATCCTTCTTCTGATGTGATGCAGATGACCCTATTTTTTAAAAAAAGCTGAAATCCTTCTGATCATCAGTTGTTAAAGAAAGGGAATGAGGACTATTTTCAGATCTCTTTGCTCCCCCTACTCCAGTGTTGTCCAAACTTGGCCACTTTAAGATGAGTGGACTTCAACTCCCAGAATTCCCCAGCCAG